GTGAGTAACAGTGGGGGGGGGGAGGTAAATTAGCATGGGGAAATAGGTTTTACTTTGTGTAATGACCCATCCGCTCCAAATTAGGCTTGAATAAAGACTGGGAGTGGATGAGTCATTACACAAAGTAAAACCTATTTTCCCCTGTTACTCACACCTTTTTGTCAACTGTTGGAAATGGGCCATCCTGATTTCACTACAAAGGGTTTTTTTCTCCTGCCGATAATAGCCAACCTTAACTAATTACTCTCGTTATAGTTAGTATGGCAACACCCATTTTTCGTGTGTGTGTGTGTGTGTGTGTGTGTGTGTGTGTGTGTGTGTGTGTGTATCTTCCTACTGTGTTTTCCACTGCATGCATCCGATGAAGTGGGTTTTAGCCCATGAAAGCTTATGCTTAAATAAATTTGTTAGTCTCTAAGGTGCCACAAGTACTCCTCGTTCTTTTTATTTGTACAGCCTCATCCTGATTTCACCTACACGGGTATTTATCATGAGTAACCCCATTGAAGGTAGTAGATACATTAGTGCAAAAGTAGTGAGAGAGATCCTAATCAGGATTTAGGGTTAAACTCTGCTGTCCTTTATGACCATGTGAATTTAGAGTAACTCCATTGAAATCAGTTTTATTCTGGATTTGGAAAGTAGAGAGTGAAATCAGAATCAGGCCTACTAAGTTCTTAGCAGGTATTTTATATCCTCTTCTATGTGATATAACTATTATATACCAATGTTTGTTGATAGTATATGTATGGAAATAATCAACTCTTTGTCATGTTCTGTCTTTCAGCCCAAATACTTATAGAATATTTAATACTGATCTACCAGAAGTAAACATGAGAATAGAAAAGATCAACGGTGAATATATACCTAAAAAGAATAAACAGTCTTTCCAGCACTCATATTTACCAGAGTGGCGCAATAATCCCCAACCACATTATGCAAAATTAATTAACACCAACGTAAGGTTCTTAAATGAACCAATATACTATATGGAAACAGAAGGCACAGTGGCTAAAAAGGTAGGACCATTTTGCATTATCTTTCAAATTAAGGTCATATTCTAAATAATATGTACATGTATGTTGTATAAAATAACTCAATTAACTAATCCTAAGGATCTGAATGAACCCCTCACTAGTAAGGAAATAGAGTGTTACGCCTTAAAATCTCTACTTAACTTACTCTGTTGTGCCCAGGTATTGCAGCATATATGCCATGTAAAATCATTCACTGTGTGAGGATACTTGTATTAGCCAGGCACAAAGTGGCAAGTTACTAAACTCTGATTGTCCTTGCTTTTGTAAGTGTAAGTCAGATTCTTGGATTTACTTTACCACACTGTAGTTTGTAATTTAATTTGATTCTTTTTGTGTACTAGTATTAAAAGAGAACAGTGATTCTTAAAAAGGGTGTTTGTATATCACATTTCTATGGCTACATCTACACTTGTGGCGGCATGCAGAGTGCAGACACTGTATACCCAGCTAGCGCAGGTATAAATAGCAGTGTAGACAGTGAGACATAGCTTAGAGCAAGGGTTCTCAAGACATATTTTGGTGGCCTCAGAGTGCGGCCACCAATTCTTGCTGGTGGCCGCTCTCACACTTTTTCCTAAAATACTTAATTAGCTTTAGGAAAAAAACAAATAAATATGCACATAATATATGTCCAAATCCATTGTAATTTATTTATTGCTAGCTAGTAAGTCTGTTTGTGAAAAGTGATATTAACAAACATAGAAGTATCACTTTTCACAGCACACTTACTCAGCCCTGGCAAGCCTGGGGACAAATGAAGCCTGGGCTGGGGGAGGCAGCGGGGGGCTGGAGCCTGAAGCCCCACAGCCAGAGCCCGAAGCCTGTCAGCCAGGGGACAGGGCCTTGGGATGGAGCTTGAAGTTGTGCAGACGGAGCCTGTCGCCCCACCAACCCAGGGCTGAAGCCCAAAGCCTGAGCCCAACTGCCTCTGGGAAGGTGAGGAACTCACTGCCTGCTTGCTCCTACAGCGTTGTCTCCCAGGTGTCTCCGGGGGGAACAGGGTACAACCCCTGATGGTGGCCCCAGCAATCAATACCAAGGCAGTGCATCCAAGGAGCAACGGAGAGGGGAAGGGGCTGCTACTTCCCCCACCCATCACAGCCCAGGAGGCTGTGGCTGCAAGAAAAGCCCCTGGTGGCCACATGTGACCACAGTGGCTGCATTTGAGAAATGCTGGCTTAGAGTACAGTGCTCTACAGGCCTGAACCCCCAGTATATAGATATAAAATAGCTCTCTACACACCCAAGTAGTGCCTCCCATGTCCACACGGCTATTTTTAGCAATGTAATGTCCCACTGCCAGAGCCTTTCTCCACAGTAATAAAAGGCTCCAGCAGCAGGTAAAGGCTGCAGTGGTGGGGAGACTCCCTGCTGACAGAGCCTTTCTCCGTTGCCTCCCCCTTGCCGGAGCCTTACCTTGACACAATGAGGGGGAGAGAAGAATTTCAGTGCAGGACAGAAGAAGGGGGAAGAAAGATGCTGGATGTCAATGGGGTCATATCAATCAAACTTCAGACTAGGCTGATTTTTCTCCTATTTAGGAGTCAGAATGTGCTAAGCAATAGTGGGAGTAGATTTGGTGGGGGGGGGGGGAGTTGAAAACTTGTGGAGGACTGAGGGAGAATTGGAGAAGCATTCTATCAATACTTGCTTTATACCTAAGTGTTTGGATAGACATACATTTTTCTTCCCTTTGACTTTAAAGCATCATTGGTGGCCAAGTGGGGAACCATGTGTATATCATTATAGTCCACCTTACGACAGACAGAGCACTCAAAGAAATGATTTCCAGAAGCCAACCTGTACATTGTCTTCTCCAACTAAATACAGCAGTAAACTACAGCCTTCCTGTGGAATAGGTAAGAACCTGTAGGGAAGCTCTTTTTTCCCCTTCCCCCTCCCCCCCATACACCAAGTCAGGTGTAGTTTTTTTTCTATTTAGAATAAACAATAACAGGTAATTCAGGTACTTTTGTACGGGATCTTTTGCTGTCTGACTTTGGATCAAGTTTTGATCTCAATTGCACCAATGTACATTTGGAGTAACTCCATTAAAGTCAGTTGAGTTAGTCTGGATTTACAACAATGCAACTAAGAGCTGAGTCTCTATCTAACTACCCATCCATCTTTCTTGCACTTATCATTTATGATGTCTGAACACTTGGTAAATGTTGTCCATTTAATAACAACCACTGTATATAATACATCCTATTGGCTCCCCCTCTTCTGCAGTTTGCAGACAAATTCAGATTATACAAATTATGGAAATGTCTAATTTTTAAATGTAGCTGGAGACTGAATTGCAAACAATCCTTGAACTATTCCCATCAGTTGCAAATGTATTTGGTATTCATAATTGTTCTCCAGATATTTTGGGTGAATACTTTTGATCAGAAAGAAGCTGTTTGCTCTGACTGTTCTCCCTTTGTTTTGTGGTTGGTCACCTAAGTGGCAGTGTTTCTACTCATTGAATGTTCTTTTGTTAAAAAGGTTGCCAGGTAAAGAATGAATAAGATTGAAAATTGTCTGAGCTGTGCCCCAAAACAGGTGTAAAGTAACTCCCCTACCTTTCCCCCAGCTGTGTTGTAGAACAAAGTAATAAAAGTGAGCCTTCACCAAATTTGTTAAAACTGCCCAAGTGGGAGCTGAACCTCCATCATGCAATGTTATAATAGTGACTGGAACTTTAACTCTGGCAACAGGGTTTCTGAGGAGTCTTACCCTCCATAAAATCAAATAGAGAGGCATGAGGCAACCAGCAGTGTGCATATATGTGGGAGGGGCCTGGAGTGAGCTAACTAGCCATGATATCTGCATTAGTAATAGTCTCGTGCCTCAATGTCTCCACATGCTCTGTTGAACTGTGGTACCAGCAAGCAGGGCTTGTCTCATGCTACTGTGATAATTCATTCAATAGCAGCTGCCGTGCTGCATTTTCTGATTCCATACATATTTCTTCTAAGGGGGCAACTGGTCCTCAGACCAACACCCTTGTTGGATATGCCAGGATTGTTGCTTACCACTTTATGGTATCCAAGAATACTGCAATGACAAGAACTTAGCAGCAGTCATGAAGAATAGTAGTGTCAGTGTACTACTTATGAGTTGCATGGTTCTCCACCAAAAAATGATTTATCACTATAGTGACTATTTAAATGTCAGAAAACATGACCGAATGCAACAAAGTATTTTCTGTTTAACAACCCAGCATTTTTCTTCTACTATTATTGATACAGTTAGTGAAATGATATCATTGAAATAAAAATATATTGGCCCAGATGCTCTGCTGTACTGAGTTCCCACAAGCCAACAGCGAGCCTGGACATGGACAATTTTAAAATGTGGCAAGGGGACTACCCAGTTGGAGAGTTTAACTAGTTCCTGTTCTCTATGCAGCCTGAGTAGCACAAAGAGAGTAGAACAGGCCAGAAAATCTTAGGTTTATGTAGTGCTGAAAAACTCCAAAGCATTGTAGCTATTGTATGCATAGGTGTCACTTCTCTACCTGGCATTAAAAATGGGAACGGGGCAAGCACAGCTCACCTTCTCTGTTAAAAGCAGAGGAAAAATTCCCTCTCTTTGGTCTAGCTTGAGACAGTGCTGCACACTTGGGGCTCTCTCCTCTTTTGGTTGGTGAGGGGGACTCACTCAACAAAAGAATCTGAAGTCAGAGCAGTAGAAGCTGGTAGTTGGCTGGGCAGAATCTGGTGCTCACAATCTTTTTGGCAGCCCATGCAGTAGCAACAGCACCTGAGGGAAGAAGCTGTCCCAGTTCCCTATATATTTCCTCTCCTCTGAAGCAAGATTTATGCCCTTGCTGACTCTCCTCCTTCAAAGGTGAGAGGGGAAAGACACCTGCAACTGCTGGCTTTCTTCCATCTATGGGGAAGTATAGAGAAGTGGCACATAATACATATATTCAAAATCTTTTAAATCCTTGCAACTTTCAACCTGTAGGAAATTGCATCAGGTATTGCAAACTGTTGGAGGCAAGAAGCTGCCAAACCTCCAACTTCTGTTTAGTTTTTGGTACACATTCTCTATCCTTGTCAAGTCTAAACTCTTGCATCTGTTGGAATAGGGGTAGGAGGAAAATGGAGGTGCTGCTGTGTGTCATGCATGCAAACACACGCGCACACGTTCTTTTTGGCTGGCTATGTACCTGCTTGAGATGTGAATTCCTTTAGGATACATTTCTTGTCCCCATTCTCTTCTCTTTGCTGCATTGCATCCCCAAGTGTCATCAAAACCCATGATGGCATCCACCAGAAGTGGTGAGTTTCTCTGACTAGTTTGAACTACTTTAACCCCTGTTCCCTACCATTGTAGTGCATTCAACTTTGGTTTGGAACAGTAGCTATATTACAAAGCACAGCAATGTAATACAACCTTTCAGGAATGGAAATGAGAATAGATAATATATCCAACGGAAGCTGCAAAGGCACTCCAATTTAGATAGGCATATTGTTATTACCACATTAGAATTTGACCACTAATGCCCCTGTTATTGCAAAAAAGCACCATGGGTGTTTTGTTGACTACAGATGCTCAGGACCTCAGTTTTAGTGTCCACCCAAAAGAAAGAATCTCCTCCTAGCCTTGTGTTATCCCCAACACTGTGGATGTTCCTGGAGTTGTTTTATCCAAATACTGACCACTTGACCATACTTAGCTTATAAGAGCTAAGATCACAGCCCAAGATGGTATGACTGAAGGTAATACAATTGGCCAAGTGCTCTTGGGTACTTTTAAATTATAGACTTAATTTTAATACCATGATGTTAAGTTGTCAGATAGCTGTCATAATGATAGGAGCTTCAGTTTTTTGATTGTGTAGACAGCTCTGCACTGAATCCAAACCCCAAAGTAAATCATAAAGGGATTTATTTATTTTAAAAATCTTTTAAAGGTTACTGTGTATAGTTTAGCTTGTGTGATGGAATATCTGAGAACAGAGTCTCTGCTGCATACAGCTTCTGCTGAGAGGACCTTCAGGGAGCCATTTAGAGCTCTCCCCAACACAAGTTAGAAGCAGCCTGGGGAGCTGCTCAAACTTACACCAGCCAACTATGATTCCCCATAACTAGCTGGGGACTGCTGGAGCTTTCCAGCCCTGGAACTTGTGGGAATTTTCTGCTCCCAGGTGGTGCAAAGGGACCAGATCAGGACAGAGAATCTGCCCCGCTGCATTAGTAAAACAACGTACACTTTCTTCAGTTCCAAGTGGTAGTGTCCAAACACAAATATTAAATGAAAAATGAAGGTGTTATTTTATTATTAAGATACTCCACTCTTAAGTGTAAAAGACAATAAACAACTAAAGGCCACAGAGCTTAGATTAAACGTTTGATCGTGGGCCTTGCTTCATCTGCTTTTTGTCCCTCCAAAGTGGCCCTAAGCTTGGTGGGTCTGGTCCTTGGAAAATCTCCCCTCTGAAGTTCATTGGGTGGGGCAGAGCTGCTACAGCTGCTCCCGTGTAACTCTCTCATCCCCAGCTGGCAGTGTGGGAAGGGGGCGTAACTAGAGCAAAAGAATGTGACTGGGGTTCCCCTGTGTTCTGGTGCACCCCAGATGATGTAACAGCTCCTTGGGGCCATTGGTAGCTGGCACAAGTTAGAGTAGCTTCAGTCTACAATAAGCTTTGCCAAGGGCCCAGTCTGGTGTATGGCAGTCTCAAGATCAAAGCAGTGCAAAGGGCACCACTGTGCCCCTCTGTCCCTTCAGTTGCACTGAGTATTGCTCAGCTGCAACTGAGGGTCTGGCCCTCAAAGACAGACACAATAACCAGTCTATAAGAATGTTCATACCAATTAAATCTTATCTAATCATTCGTTCATCAACCCACTTAATTAGCCATGGACTCTGGTATTTCAGCTATGCCATGTCAAAAATGAAAGTGTTCTTTGTGTAGTACGCCACCCAACAACTGTCTGGCTGCTATCCGCTGTAAAATCAACAAATATTTCTCATGCAGCAGAGCTGTATCTACTGGAAAATAATTATTCACTTCTGTTTTTTTTAAACCAAGATGAGTTAAAAGCCATATTCTTTTCATCCTGTGCAGTTAGCATTTGATATATCAAATGCAAGTTGGCTTCTCAGCTCTCTTGCAGGTTTCATTTGACTCATGATACACACTTCATATACACAGAGAAATCACATTTGCTAGAATGTGGTTTGGTAATATAATCCCTCTATTAAAAAAGGTAGATTTGTAAGATTGAAAATGATGTATTTTAATAGCATAAATGAAATAGTACAGTAAATTGGAGGTAATGATGAGTGAAATCTGCAAACCACATCTCATGTGGTATAAATGGGCCTGGCTCCATTGGTTTTAATTGATCTGCAGTAATTTACATCGGCTCTGGATCTGGCCTTCTAATTTTATTTTATATCAAAGAACACAACCAAATCCAAGGAATGCACTGAGATAAGCATGCTTTGTTTTTACCACCAAAGTGCCTGATTTTGCAACCCCTACTCTCATTGGGTAGGAATTTCTTGCTCGCTTCAATGGTGATAGTCTTACGAGTAAGTGCTGGCCAACATGAATAAGGTTTGCAGAATCTAGCCTGGAAATGTTTATTGACAAGTTTATTTTAAGCAGTGGCTTCTGTAGAGGAAAACACAGGGGGGTTAATTCTCAAAGAAGTATAGGGCAGATAAGCTGTATGGATCCCACTGAGGCAAAGACCTCTTTTGCCACTGTGAAAACAGCCATCCATGGCTGGACATCAGCTTAGGCAGTATACATATTAGAAACTTTTCTGTGTTAACAGAGTTACCAGAAAATAGATTCAAAGCATTTGTCAGACATGACAGGGCACTGTACCTATTTTGGTCATGCAGCACATTC